GCTAATGCGATCGCTCAACGTTTTTTTAATAGGGCAAAATTCGCTTTGCGAAGACCGTAAGCGTTTCGCTTACCGATCTTCGCAAAACGAAGCCCGACGATCAGCTGTTATGTGGCCAAAATGGCCGCCGGAAGCCCGGAAATGGCCCAAAATGACCGCGCGCAGAGTTTTCGCGCCCTCGTTAAGCGAGGGGAGGGCGCGAAAATGGCTGCCGGCCATTTACTTTACCCAGGCTTCATGCTCTGGAGAGGACACTTCTCGATACAGAGCATGTTACCATAGTCTTTCGAGACTGAAGGATGCCTATGATGATGCAGTACAGCCTCCTCTAAAGCAACATGGTGTTTTCTAGAACTGTTAATGAAATAAATCTGCATTGCATTTTAGCCAAACCAAATTATTAGACTATGTACTGTACCATTTCACATAGCAAGGCCCACCATCAAACTAAGTAGAACTAAGTCACATCTCATGGCTGCTCAACAGGTCAAATTCTACACAGTCGTGCACAGTCTACAGAGTACAGCCTGCCAATCACATTTATAAGGGCTATGCACTCTACAAAAGTCAGCTTGACAGCAATGAAAAATACAGTGTTTTAATCATGTGTTCAGAATACAACCCCAATCCTATTTACTATTCCAATTTAAATGTATAATTCTTAGAATGTGTTAACCAACACAAAGGGGTGGGATGAGAGAACACCGGCAAAATTTTGTTCAAAGTAAAATTTACTGAAATCTCTGGACCTTTCCTCCCAACACTCAGTTTCAGTCTGAACTCCATTTGCCAGCCAAAAGAAGCATTTCTTACCAGGCTTTCCCAAAAAATATTTGTCATGATCTGCCTGCAGAGGAAGGGTTACCTATAATTGGAATGTACCATAAAGAACATCTGGCTTTATGCACTTGTAAATGAATGTCTCAAACGCATCATGGTTGTGAACAGCCACTTGCCTGGTCACTTGTAGCAAAGGAGAGTTACCTTTAGCAATCAGGCAGCTAAAACATTTGTAAAGTGGAAGCACAGTTTTTATGGCCTCATTTGCAAGGCTAACATAGACTTCAATGTCCACGAATCTCAGAAATCATAACAGGACAACCCAGAGTCTCTACTGCCCTGCTTTTGATTGACTGCCATCATTTCGAGAACGGGGCCAACTTTGTAAATACATTTGGAACAGAGCAGATGGCAGCCCTCATTCGTTCTCGGTTCCAAATGTAGTCAAAACAACACTGGAGTGATTTGCTATCATGTGTATAAGAAGCAGACCATATTCATTGCGTGTGACTGAAAACTTTTTAAAGAAGTCTGGTTTGGGAAAAGGAACGCAACCATATTTCCTAGGTAAGAATTCTCAAGATTCTCTCTGATGAAGCAATTTATCTGTTCTTAACAGAAAGCTAGGATGGGGACAGGACAATCCCCCTCAATTGCGCCAGACTTCGGAAGGTTCCAAAAGCAAAACACCACATTAAGATATACTCTTCCAACTCTAGCTCTGGAGAGCAGCATTTAGGAGAGCTGATCCCTTCACACCCCAGTTATTTCTGCTTAGTTTGATGGCTGGCCCCACTACATTGAATAGTGAAGAACAGCCATAGTGTACTTGGGGCAGGTTAAAATATGGCACAGAGGGTTTTTTTTTTAAAAAAAAAAGTTAATTTTTTTGCCACCAGAGGAACACAAAGGGACTTTTTAATTTAAAACTTCACTTTTTCTTTCTTAGTTAAACCCACTGTTCAGTTAACAAAAATCCCTTGTAGCAACCTTTCCAGTATACAACCTCTGCACTAGAATAGTCTTAGGAAGGAGAGAGGGAAAATATGCAAATAAGCCTCTTTGGCTCCGCTTCCTTGGTACTGGGACCTTGGGCTGCCAACAAATCTGAAAAAATGGTCACATCTGACTCAGGGCATGAGCCGGAGTGGTCCCTCTGCCACCCAAAGGGAAAAAAAGCCAAGAAGTGGGTAATAGAAGCATTTCAAGTGCCTCATCTGACTAATTCCAAAGAAGTCCCAGCCCTAAGTTTGGAACTGGATGGAAAGGACAAGCAGTTTCCAGAAACTTACCAGCTCTTTTTTTTTTCATTGCCAGACTTGAGAGAGGGAGGGATATAATGAAAGTTTCTCACAAAGCTTCAAGTATGAGGTCAAGAAACAACAATCCAACACATTCTACTCTAAACTTAGTCCAAATTAAGTTTACTGTGACTAATCTACAGGTATGAGTATTGCAATTACACAGACACAAGTCACACTATACATCTGGGAATGCCCTCTATTTTATTTATTTAGTTAGTTTCATTTGTAAGCTGCCTTTCTCCCCATAAGAAGACTCAAGTTAAAACAAGTAAAAACACAATAAATAAACACATCGCAAATTAAACTACTGTATTAGTATAATTAAAATATTTCCAGTAATTAAAAGCATCACCTTTAAAAACAAACTCAAGCTGAAAAGCTAAAAAAACCAGCATCCAGGGCTCAATTTTTGTACATATTAAGGTTAAAGTTAAAAGCCGGTTTGAAAAGGTGGGTCTTCAGCTGTCAGCAGATGGATAAAAGGGAGGGGGAGAAGCCTGATCTCCAGAGGAAGGGCATTCCACCATCTGAGAGCTGTCACAGAGAGGGCCTCCTCACATGTCCCCATCAAATGTACCCGCAATGATAGTGGGACCAAGCGGAGGGCCTCCTCTGAGGATCTTAAGGACTGAGAAGGCCCATATGGGGAGATATGGTCCTTCAGACAGCCTGGATCCAAGCCGTACAGGGCTTTATAGGTAATGATCTCAAGGGAGATGTGTATTAAGACTACAGTCGTTGGATGAGATCCAATCCTGATGGGCAAAACTTTGGCTTTGTTAACAATGCCAGAAAAAAAAAAACTATCAGCAGCTGCTCTTGTAGCATGTGGTGGTCGAAAGTCTAAAGAGGCTGAAGACAGATGAGCTGGGCACAGCGCAAGAGTCTCTGTCATGTCCTGGTCAAAACAAACTAAACAAAATGCCCATAAATCGCTAAGGGATAGTATCATCTAAGAGCCTCCATTTCTTCCAGGTCTTGGTCAGACATACAAGACCTCATATTAAAGCCACTCTTTAAAAGGGTGACCTCCGGCAGATTCTGTTACATTTAGTTACCATTTAGATGCGGAAATGTAATATATTTACTGTACTCCAAAAAGCACACACTCCACTGAAGAAAGCAACTTAATTCTAACAACTGACAAAGCAGACTCCACAAAATTTGTAGAGCCAGCATCATCCTGCAACTGAATGAAAACTGCTAACCTGGTATCGCTGCTTAGCATCAATACGACATCTTGAGTCATTTGAACAGCAAAACATAGAGAGCACAAAGCCCAGATGTCTATGGTCAAAATGCAAAAATCAAAGCAAGGTCTGGGAAACCTTTGGTCATCCAGATGTCCTTCAGAAATACAATGTGATGTGAAGAAAGGGTCTAAGAAACTATCATCTCTTCTTTCCCCAATAGTAGGTTTAAGGCTCAGGCTGCTTACACTTGACAGTACCCACAATTTAACTCTTCATCTTGCATCATTTTGGGAAACATGAGAACCATGTCCTGTAATACAGTGGTGCCTCGCTTAACGAGTGCACCGTTTAACGACGAATCCACATGGCGACTCGTTTTTGCGATCGCTAATGCGATTGCATTGCGATGATTCCAATGGGCGAAAATTGCATTGCAGTGATCGGTAAGCGTTTCACTTACCAATCTTCGCATTGCGATGTTCTAAAAACAGCTGATCGGCGGTTCCAAAATGGCCGCCAGAAGAATAAAATGGCCGCCCGCAGTGTTTTCGCGCCCTGCCCTCGGCTTACCGAGGTGGTGAAAATGGCGGCTGGATGGGGAATCATCGCTTACCAGTGAGTTTTCGTCCCACAGGAATGCATTAAACGGAGTTTAATGCGTTCCTATGGGGTTTTACATTCCATATAGCGATGTTTCCGGATAGCGACGTTAATCCTGGAACGGATTAACGTCGCTATGCGGGGTACCACTGTATTCAGAAAGGGTATTTTTTATGGATACAAAATTTACTTAACTGTTGCATTTTTATTTCCTCTTCAAAAAGTCATCTAAGGCATCGAGTAAATATGAAGCAAATGCAGCTTTCTGCTATGCATTTTTTTTCACGACGCTTCAAAAATTCAGAGGCATCTACTCAAGAGGCACAATACCCGGAAAGCCAAACACTCCAGCAGTAGTAGAAGCAACCAATTCTAGGTCAGCGGTTCAAACCCCCCTTTCAGCCTGCTGGGGGCAGTCTCTTGAGGAGAAAAGTGGCAATGGGCCAAGGCACTAAATAGCTTTTCCAAACACTCCAAAAAAAAGCTGTCTTTTTCAGGAACAGGGAAAAGCTATACATATGAAATCATTAGCTTACTAATTACAATCCTCATGAGACACAGAAGATACAGCAACAGGCATAAATAATCAGTTTTATGTACGGTCCACTGTATCACCAACTAGTGTACACTGATGAACACCAGCAGGAAACTGGACCACCATAGAAAACTGAACCCCCACACTTAAGATTAGAACACTCAGGATGTAGAAAGACTGGCCAGGTGACCAGCATGTGAAGGTAGAATGTAAATGTCCTCATCTGCAGAAAACCAGGTTAGTTCTGTTGACTTCATCCTTGATATCCGAAGCACTAAAAGCAGCTAGATCAGCAGCAATTTTTAAACAATTCTTTTTACACTTGCAAAACATTTCCAATAAAAGTCAACATGGGTTGATTTGTGTTTACAACCAATTCAATACATACAATATGGATTTCAGGCACATCAGCGTAGGCTAGGTGTGAATTTGACTTCTACTCTTTTAACTTCTGGGCCTGAATTCTTAGGATTCTAGCCTGCATAGAAGTTCACCGCTTCCAATTCCATCTCAAACAAACTGCACAATAAGCATCTTTTTGTGCCTCAGATATTTTGATCCTCCAGTTATTCTTAAGGCTCGACTCACCGGCAAGCTCGAGGGTCTTGACTGAAGATTCAAATTCACATCTTCTTGCCCCTTACTGGAAGCCATTGAGGCAGCAGATGATGCTTGCGACCCAAACGAGTCTTGTGATAACTCCTAGAATGGAAGAGACCAACCAAGTTGGGGTGGGGGTGGGGGGAGAAAATTAAATCTCTTTTATCTTCAATCTAATTTACCATACTGAGTGAAAAGCTGCTATCTAAACAAACATGGATCCAATCAGCTGCTCTAAATGATCATTGCATCTTTGTCATAACTCAGTTCCAATAATATCATGGTTACTTTTAAGACATAAAATATCATAATAGCAAACTCCACAAAATTGATCACTTTGTAAGCTGTTTTAAAACTACTCAAATCAAGTCTCTCTTTCCAGTGATTCCTACAGCGTGCAAACCATGTCAGAATAGACTATACAGAGTCTACTCCAGCCTACCACACACAATCACATAAACAAATTAGAAGAGCCAGGATGAGATGACAAACAAGGCCTTTTTGCCTTCTGTACACCTTAAGGGTACCAGCAACCTTCTACGTCTATATACTCAGCTGGCAAACCAAATGTACCGCTGTGTTTCCAACGTGAATAATATATCAGGGGCTCTTTTACAGCTCCCCCTCTTATTTATGTTTCTAGCAAAGACACAGGGAGAAAATGTCCATAGCTGGTAGGTCTCAAAACACTGCCCTTTTTTTTCTACTTGGAAGTGAGACAAGAACTGAAGTAGCTGACTTGCTGACGTATCCAGTAATACACCATACATCTATTTGTTATTTTATTTAAAGTACTTCTATCCTGTCATTCTCAGCAAAAGGACTCATATTGCTCAGTATATGTTCAAGGAAAATGGAGTGCTAACCAAATCAGTGCTAAATGGGGTAATTATAACAAACCAGTGTGGAGCAGGTAACCCAGGCATCCTGAGCAATAATAATCTTTAGATAGACTAGGACCCAACTGAGTACCACAAAATGGCTGCCCAAGCACACACACTGTAGCTAATCAGGACTAAATGGGGCACTGTACAGTGATGCCTTGCAAGAGAAAAATAATTCATTCTGTGAGTCATGTCGTATTGCGAAAATTTCGTGTTGCAGATTTTCCAATAGGAAAAATGCATTTCAATGCATTTCCCATAGGAATGCATTGGGAAAAAGTAGTTTTGGGAAGCATGGCCATAGAAAAATTAATCTTGCGAAGCACAGCCATAGAAAAATTCGTCTTGCGAGTCACCAAAATAATAATAATAATAATAAGCAAAACGCTTTCGTCTTGCGAGTTTTTCGTTGTATGAGGCATTCATCTTGCAAGGCATCACTTTACAGGAAAAAGAATTCAACTCAACATTGGAAAGAGCTTTGTAACAGTGAGAGCAGAGATTGCAGCCGTGTCCAGACCAGCCTTTAACAAGCTTAGACTAATTGCCCAACTGTGCCCCTACCTAAATCTGGTCATATTCTGGATCTACTACAGCAATGCTCTCTATTTGGGGTTTCCCTTGAACCTGACCTGGAGACTTCAGTGGGTCCAGAACGAGACAGCCAGACCAATGGTTAGTGCAAGTAATTTTGATGACATCACTCCGGTTCTGGCCCGCCTCCACTGATTGCCCGGGGCATCCTGGATCAGGTTCAAGGTTCTAACACTCACATAGAAAGCCCATGTTACTTGTTGGAGCGTCTTTCCTTAATGTCATCTGCCTGACCCACAAGATCATCCCAATCGAGGCTCCTCTGGGTGGCCTCCCTAAGGAAGGTCCATAAACCCTCTACAGGCTGTTTTTAATATTTATATTTTTCTTTTTGCTTCTATTTTATGTATTGCAAGCCACCCAGAGTAGTACTGTGGCACTAATGGGAGAAGGATACGAACTGAATAAATAAATATTTAACAATGGAATGTACTACCTCAATAAGGTGGTGGATTCTCCAGCCCTGGAGATAATTAAACCGAGCTTGGATAACCAGCTGTTAGGGATGCTTTAAATAAGAGATTTCTTGGTTTGGCAGGAAAAGAATGCAAAAGAATATCAGGTATCCTTATCCTTAACAGTGGACTAGATTTGACAACCTCTACAGGCTCTTTTAGACGCAGTCCCTAGTCTTCTAATAAGGCTGAAGGAAATGCTGTGGATGATTGTTGGCCTTGTTTAGTTCTGACCATGCCTTGGCAAGGTTAGTAGTTTTGCTGAATCTGCCCTGGTCTGCAAAAAAGGGGCACACGAGTTTGAAATGGAAGGATTCGGAACTGTTCAGCCTCTATGATTCTCCTTCCATTTAGTTTTACATCAGTCTAAGAAAAAATTTGCTATGTCTACCTCCACTTACTTTAGGAAAGTTAGACTTTTTATTTGCTTTTGTCCAGTAGCTTATATCTACATGTAACCCAAAGGCAGTAAGGCATACCAGGAAGAGCATTATTTTAAGACTATGAAGACCCAGGTTCAAATCTACATGCTTCTATCCTCCAGTCACTATCACTGAACCTAGCCCACCATGTACAGTCACTGTGAAGATTAAACATGGTATGGGAGAATCAAATATGTCACCTTTAACACTGGACGAAAGGAAGTGAATGGAATGTAAGAAAACATTTAATCCAGGCCTTTCTTTGGTTTCCTACAGATACAACAGCTTCTAGTAGTTACAGTCAGGCAGCAAAATATGCTTTACTGAGCATCCTCCTAGGGGGCAACCAGACATGGTTAAGAGCTGGACTCAGCTTGTCTGACCCAAGTGCCGTTTACAGCTATCAGGTCTTCACATCTCGGCTGCCAAAATGCCCTCCTCTTGGTCTGCAGTTGTCGTTACACACTCATCACAAGCAGAAAAAGTCTACACACTTCTCAAAAAGGCTGCAACTGCGGTTGGAAAGATCAGCGTAACTTCGTGTCTCCCGCCCCATCCCCCACCAAGGCAAAATCAATTTGTTCCCATGCTTGCCATCCAAGCATGGGGGCAAGCATATGGAAGACATCGTACCTGGGGAGGTGGGAAGCGCTGCTGAGAATATGCCGACGGCTGCTGTGACTGAGGCTGAGAGTATGACGCCGACTGTTGGGAAAGCGCCGAGGTAGCAGACTGCTGAGCTTGCTGCTGCTGCTGCTGCTGGTACGTTGACTGGGACTGCTGCTGAGAGTAGGGAGGCTGACTCTGTGGGTGCTGCTGCTGCTGCTGCTGGGCGGTGGGCGGTTGCTGAGGATATGGCGATGGAGACTGCTGATGGGGTGGCTGTGACTGCTGCTGAGAGTACGGGGTCTGGGAGGACTGAAGCTGTGGAGGCTGGGATTGAGTTTGCTGTTGCTGATAGGAAGGCTGGGCGTGCGGGGTCTGTGAGGGCGGCTGCTGGGCATAGGAAGGCTGCGGCTGTTGCTGAGGATGAGGACTCTGCTGGTTATAATAGGGAGTCTGGCCCTGCTGCCCATAGCCACTAGGGCCCTGCTGTCCGTAAGGAGGGATCTGCGCAAAGGAGACAAAGCAAGAAAACAAACGTTGTAGGGAGACCAGAATCGTGCTGAACAAAGAGCTCAACCCAACAGAAGCACCTGATTAAACTTCTGCTGTGTAACGAAGAACAATCAACTTTGAAAATTAAGGCATAGCAATATAGCCCTTCCCCACAGCAACACAGAAAGCTGCTTTACATCGAGTCAGATGGTTGGGTCACTGTAGCCAGGCACCGCCAATCCTGACTGGGGGAAGCTTTCCGAGGCTGCATGCAAGATAACCTTAGCACTATATCCCTCCTGTTAGGCAGGGGCCTCCAGTCCAAGGGCTAACCAAGCCCGCCTTGCTTAGCTCTGGATGCATTCAGGACAATTATGAACGACATCACCATAACACTTAAAATGTTTCCCTAATACACCCTTCCCCAACTTGATGTCCTCTAGATGCTACCCAAGGATGATAGGCGATACAGTCCAACCCCTGACTGGGGGAAGCTTTCCAAGGCTGCATGCAAGATAACCTTAGCACTGAGATATCCCTCCTGTTAGGCAGGGGCATCCAGTCCAAGGGCTAACCAAGCCCGCCTGCTTAGCTCTGGATGCGTTCAGGACAATTATGAATGACATCACCATAACACTCAAAATGTTTCCCTAATACACCCTTCCCCAACTTGATGTCCTCTAGATGCTACCCAAGGATGATAGGCGATACAGTCCAACAGCTGGTTGAAGGAGGCCTACTAGTTGGCACTGTATTGTAAAAGAACTTCAGATGGAAGCTTCCCCTAATTTCCAAGTCTTTCTTTAAAAATGACAGAGGTCGTTTATTAGGTTTTCTACTGCCAAGAGTCCATGTCTAATCCATGAAGGCGAGCATAACATTTATAAAAACAAGTTTGGCTTGGCTTTTTAAGTATTCAAATCTCTTCACCTGTTGTGGATAAGAAATGCTTCCCATGGCCGTTTGTGTCCTGCTCAAAGTTCCCATTGGATATCTCTGGGGCGTCTGTGGCCCATATGGCTGTCCCGGATACCCATGGCCTTGTTGTTGCCCTGACTGAGGTCCCTGCTGTTGTGTGTATAGGTGGTTTCCTCCATAAGGCTGAGGTCTCATCTTCCCCATCTGATCCATTGGGCTGGATGGCTAAAAAAACAAAACGACAATGTTTTTCACAATACACCTCACTGTTACATATGACTATTCAAATTATTTACACATATCCTTGAGGGACTGAATCAAAGATGTTACATAAAGCATATAAACAAAAGTAAAAGTTAAACATGCTCTTTACACCAGAAGAACTGGACAATTAATTAAAATTGACCAACACGCTGAACAAAAACAAAAAAGCCAACTCATGGCCAACGGAGAGATGGTTACCATACTATATCATTACATTCCAGGGGAAAGTACACTTTTAAAGTACTGTAAGTTAGCTTAATACAACACTGTGATTAAGAACTAAAATTATGAACGTATTTTCCTTGAAATAAATATGTATACAGTGGTGCCCTGCTTGACAACAACCCCGTTAGAAAACAAAATCACTTTACGATGACATTTTTGCGATCGCTATAGCTTTACGTTGAATAGTTCCCTGCTTCAGGAACCGGTTTTCCGCTTGTCGACGATCTTTACAGCTGATCGTCGGGTTTTCAAAATGGCCTCTCGCTGTTTTCCGGACCTATTTCAGGAAAACAGTGATCGAAAATGGCTTCCCCTATGGAGGATCTTCGCTGGACGATGAGGTATTTCCCCCACTGGAATGCATTAACCAGTTTTTAATGCATTCCAATAGGTTTTTTACTTTCGCTTGACGACGATTTTGCTTTACAGCGATTTTAACGGAATGGATTATCGTCGTCAAATGGGGCACCATTGTATTCTGGATTTTTCTTCCAAAACTAAAAGTCAAGCTTCTCCTAGAGACCATATCACAAAGGAAAGTGGACAAACCAAGAAACAATGTAAGAAGTTGCTCTCACAGCCCCTGTAAGTACTCTGCACAAACACGTCAGTTCAGGGCTTACAGTCCTACAAGGCAGTGAATACTCTGGAGGGAAGCATTCGCCTGAATGACACACTCAAAGTAAAGGTTAAGATGCACTTATGCCAGTTTTTTAAATTCCTGCTTGAGTATCATCTGTATACATTCTGTATACATTTCCTAAAGATGGAAGGCAGTAGCAATATGCCATTCAATTTACCTCACTAGCAGACTGGATCCTAATTTAGGATATTTTGGTGGAAAAGTAGATTTTCCCACTCCCTCTAGCCCCCTGCAAATGTTAAACATGTTGTCAGGAAATTCTGTTGAATTGTATGGATCATGGAGAATTCCCCTGTCAACAACTGAAATATTGGGCAGAGGGTTTTTATGCAAGCACAAGCTTTCTGCCAGCAGCAAGAAAAAGCCTGGTTGTAACCTAGTGGCTGGAATCCTACCAGATGTGAGAACAACCCTGTGTGCATTTTGCACAACTTACCCGTATTTTTCGCTCCATAAGACGCACCTTTCCATAAGACGCACCAATTTTTTAGAAGAAAACAGGAAAATATAGTCTGTTTTCTTCGCTCCATAACACACACAGACTTTCCACCCCCTTGTTTTGTGGGAAAAAAGTGTGTCTTATGGTGCGAAAAATCTCCACTGTCATAGCATTCCAATGTTTGCTTGGATATTATAGATATAAGATTGAATATCAAACACAAACCTTCCATTTGATTAAGGACTAATTTTACATAAACGTAAAACAAATCTATTGGATTACACTTGCATGTAAAGAAATGGCTCTGAGTAGAACAACCGAATACACATTACTTTTTCTCATACTTAAGTATGGAGTAATATGCATGATATTTAACTCAAGTTTATTATTATTACAACTATTGTTAGCCATGTTAGATATACAAGACTGGAATAAAATAATAAAGCATATAACATTTAGAATGGTAACAAACCAGACTGAAATTCAGATTACAATTAATTGGGAATTCCTAATCTAATTATTGCAGTGATTTAATCATCTGTTATCTTATTTTACTAGCCACTACACAAAATTTTGCAATCTTTGCTGTGGTTTCCCTTGAGGAGTCTAAGAGGAGAAGAGAGATGTAAAATCTATCAGATCTACCTGGATGTTTTAAAACTGAGAAAATAAGTAAATTGTGTATATCCTTATAATATGTGCAATACAACAGGATATATTCCACAGTATCCATCATGCCAGGTTGGCAGGAGCAAAGATGTTGGTCATAAGGGTACATGAGTATCTTCCCTCTAAAAAGCTGAAGGTAGAGTACTGAAACAGATCACAGTTAAAAAAAAAATCTCCACTGTCTCACAAGTTCTAAATTGTACAGGTAACCCCCTAGGATAAAGATCTAAATGTGATTCCCAGCCACTCAGTACTATTGGACCCATGTTCTGTTGCTTTGGAGGGCTGTATTCCAAATCAGTTTCCTAATAGTTTTAATCAATATGATTGAGTTTTAACTTCAGCCAGAGATTGATTATTTGGAACACGATATTTAAAAACTGACTGACACAGATTAGATTACTCCAGAGTGACCAGGATGCTGCCATATTTGTAAAAATACAACTTACGCATATGATGCTTTAGCAGAAAGTACAAACATGCTTGTCACATGACATTTATCGCCCATTATCTTAACAGGGCTACAGGTATCTTTGCTTAACACTCCTGTTTGCTTTGAACCTCAAAAAAGTGCTCCAATGCTGGAAGCATTCAAAAGAATATTGGAAAATCATCTATCAGATCTGCTTTGATTTGGACTCCTGCACTGAGCAGGGGGCTGGACTTGATGATCTTATAGGCCCCTTCCAACTCAATTATTCTATGATTCTATGATAAGATGTAATGAGAGATGTAATGAGAGTGAAAGAGGAGAGTGCAAGACATCCAGCACATTCTGGTTTTGACTGGAGAGTTCAAGTGGTGAAGGGGCCCAAAAGATATTATATCTGATTTATAATTACAGCAATTAAGTACGTGCCCCTTCTTCAAATGTTCCACTACAGCACATCATTCACTTGCATCAGTTATCTTATTCTCAAAATTTCCAAAACAGCTTGACATGAATGTTTATTGCTTGCCAAATTTTTATGTGAAGAACAATTGCCAGGAGTGCAACACAATACACAAGGTGCAAAAGCTGATACCGAGAAGAGGGATGCAATACAGGCCCATGTGCAAAGATGCTTCACAATAAAATAAATACCAATTGCTGACTTTAAATAGCAGAAGATTCTTTCCTGGTTTCACACAAGGGAAATCCTCTCAAAGGGAAAACCACAGGAATAGATTACCATGATTACACTTCAAAAGATAAAGGCTCTTCTACTGAGATACACAACCAAGGAAGGAGCTGCTCCTTGATCAATGAAACCCTGACCCCCTGCTTACAACCTAAACTACATTCAAAGAAACTGAATGCAATCTTAGAATTGCTGGTTCTGCAGAGCCTTCCAGAAACCTGTATCAGGGCAAACTGAGAGCTCTGACTAGCACACGAATCTTCAGGGGTCGACAAACAACCACAAATGAAAGCTGCCTCAAAGGGTAAAAACTTGCAACTATGCTCCACGTCAAGAACAGGAGTAATGTTCTCTGTAGCTTTCCTTACAAGAAAAACAAGAGGAATCCGTCCTAACTTTATTGCTGCCTAGGTGACATATGCCACCATCCCCAGACAACTGATGGCCAAGCTGACTAGATACGATGTGAACTGTAGTCCAACATATCCAAAGACTCCTAAACTGGGAAAATCTGCAGCTGACAATATACTGTAGCTAACCTGTGAAATACTGCCTTGCAGTCAGGAGCTCATAGGTTGCAGTCTAAGCATTTCAAAAGAAGCATTACCCTATTCAATACATTTTAATACACATGCAAAAAGAAGAAAGTGGCTTTAACTTCCCGTTAACATAGCTTTCCAGGTCCAGGAGCGTCTATGTGAAACATTAACCCTTCTGTTGTGTATCTTACGGCTTACTTATATAACCAGTAAGTACAGAGAGGCTGCTAGAAATCTCATTTGACGCTCAAGAGCACATTCATTCTCTACGTATGGTGGGTCATTTATGTGCAAGCATCATTAAATGTATTACTTTTAAACTATCAAATGTTGCCCAAAAGAAGGGTTAGCAGCAGCATGTTAAGAGAAATTCTGTGCTGAATTGTTACGCCGTCTGCCCTCCTTTTGTTGATTAATTCCTCACCCTCAGTAAATATTTGTATAGTAATCCCCAAAATAGTCAGAGGCTGCCTGGCCATATATAAACTGGTGACATTACTGTGGAGGTAGGGTGCGAGTATGTAAAGCTCTCTCACACAAATAAATACTTGTTTCTGAAATGCAAAAACTTGTTCTTAGTGCTGCAGATTCAGTGTTTCACAGGAAAATTTAAAATATATTCTCCTTCACGCTCCAAGGTGCTACTTATTACTACACTTAATTGTAGAAATGGGGATAGAAGCCACAAATTATGAAGTGCTTCTAAAATGTGGGCAGAATCGGAATCAGACTGCCTGGATTACACAGAAAATGAAAAACCCACCTAAGGTCTGGAATTTATTCCTGAGCAGATTTGTCATCTGATTTATAATAAAAATAAAAGAGTTCTTTTTTTTAAAAAAAAAGTCTTACTGGCTCTTTAACAGAGAAGCCCTAATTGATTCCCACAGTAATTAACCTGCATTTTACCTCAGAGTGTGCTAGTTAAGGAAGTCAGCGCAGCTATTTATAACTCATCTCAAATTGAGGGCAGACTGCCTAAAATCTAACACATCCCAGCTGTACTCCTGTTTGAACTGGGGCCAAGGGAATTTTTTAAAGCAATCTTGGCACCGAATGAATGACACCAACACTATGAGAGCCCGAACGGTTGTGTTGTGGTGACGTAGCAGCGGAGGTGGAATGGGAAGGGGGGGCAAGTGTACTGTAATCCTTCTCCCACGTGCTCTCAGTTCATAGGCCCCAACCCTATGGTCCCTGTAAAGGAAAGCCAGGAACCACCCACTGAGAGCTAAACACAGGAAACGTCCTTTTCCTCCCAACGCCTTGGAAGTGAGAAGCACATGGCTAATCTGCATAAAAGCAAAGCCACCACCACCCCTGCC